ATGGAATCATTTAGGTTGGAAAAAAACCTTTAAGGGCATTGAGTCCAGCCATCAACCCAGCATTGCCAAGTCACCACTAGACCAGTCCCTAAGCACCACATCTACATATCTTTTAAATCCCTCCAGGGCTGGTGACTCAGCCAGCTCCCTGGGCAGCCTGTTCCAGTGCCTTCAGTGAAGAAATTTTTCCTGATCCCCAATCTGAATCTCCACTGGCGTAGCTTGAGGCTATTTCCTCTTGCCTTGTAGTATATATAGGCCTAGTGGTGTGTTAAAAAAATTAGTTATGCTGGTCTTGTCCCAACAAGCACTGAGAGTTTCTGAGACTGTTCAAACACTGACAACTACAAAGTTCCACCTGACACAAACTCAAAGTTGCTGACACACAAAGCTTTGGGGAGCTGCAGGTTCCACTTGGTTCTCCTGACGCCACCTCTGCAAGATCATCACTGGTGAGGGAAGTACCTGACCTACACATGCTACAGGTAAGACTGGCACAACAATTTGGTTCATAATTTTGTTATAAATGCTAATGGAGGGGGTATTTGGTTGCCTTTGAATTCCTCTGTAACCTTAGAAATGTTGTTGCAGCTGTGAAGATTGGTTATGAAGCGACAAGTAACATGCATAAAGGGAAACACTTCCCCTGCTGAGTCTCCTCAAAGCCATGTTGGCTTTGTGGCTGGGGCTGAGTGTGTGTCTTCCTTCTGGATTGGGATTTGTGCCTTAGTAAGGCTAAGAGATGTTGCTTAGGGAGAAATAGAATAATATTCCCAGGTGGGATGCACCATGGAAATAGTTGTTACTGATAGTGGGAGGATCACAGTTTATCCAGTGCATCTTTACAAAGGTCACTTAAGTCACCTAAAGATAAAAGTTGCTTCTAGGTGTGGATTAGAAGAAAACCAAACAAAAAGCTAAGGATGGATTGTGCTTTTGTTCTGTCCAATGCACCTTCGGGCACTCAGGCTGCTGTGAGGGAGAAGTAGCATCTGACTGCAGAAGGTGGGGATTATGTCCAGTACCTGATTCTCAAAGTGAAACTGGAAACAGGGATTGGATCACTGCTCTTGGCCATCATTCAGTCTCTGGAACCCCATTCTGGCAGGTTTTTCTGAAGAATTTACTTCAGGCATAGAGGGCTGGTCTCTGCTGACTTGGTGTCAGCTGAGCCACCTCTAGATGATGGTTTGGAGACAGAAAATAACTTGGTTGCATCAGATTCCTGCCTGTGCATCAATCCTCAAATTAAGACCATGCCAGGATGTAGCCATAGATGCCAGTTCATTCTCCAGGATGTAGCTATTTTTTTATTTTTTTTTCTAATCAGAACTTCTCATTCCTATAATTTCCAGGAATAATCTAGTGAGATGAATCTCTGTGAGGTGCAGGAATGTTTGCTTGAGCCTGTGGAGAGCCTTTGGATATTGCTGGAGGGTTTTCCCTTCTTTCAGTGAAGTATTAATTCAGGTGCCAGGTGATAGTGAACACCTGCCAGTACTCTTGGTTATTTGACTGACCCATTTAAGCCTGGTATTATGTTTCTAAAATCAAGCTCTTACACTTGGCATAGGTTTTTTAAGGTGGTATTGGCTTTAGAGATGTGAAAGGAGAGGTGTTGAGGTGTTTTTGTGGTCATGTCCTAGGAAAAATGCATATGGACTTCTGTGAGAACAGAGCCCTGCTAAAGTCTCCAAGATGAACTCGCACCACTAAGACTGCTCTGCAGGAGTAATGGTTTTTTTAAATTTTCTTAGTCATTTTGGTTCTTCAGTTGGATTTTTTTTCTCTTCATAGGTTTTTTTAACTCTTCATAGGCTCCAAAGTTTTCAGATGGATTTCATTGAAAGTGATTTTGTACTTTGTGCTCAAGGTGTGCCTGAGAATGCTTTTGGTGAACAATCACACTTTCTAAATCCCACAGCAATATTAATGCTGATTTGGAATACTTTTATTCCACACCAAGGATTTTTATGTCGTAGCTTGTCCTTTGAGCCTCTGTCATTGGAGAATGGTATTTATGGTTTGTCTGTATCAGCAATCTGTTAATTACAAACTCAGAAGTATTAGGAGTCACACTACCACTACTACTATATCCTAGTATCCAATATAGAACCTCTAATGCATACAAAATGATGAGAATTTCAAAAATGCAGTTTAGGTGATTTGTTTCCAAGCTTTGTGAATTTTGATGGAAAATAACTGTGCTACATGCACAAGAGTGGGCTGGGTGCACAGACTGTCACCGAGTACTACCTTTGTGGTACAATCCTGTTTGTAGGGATTGTTTGCTTTTGGATATATGTTCCTGCTAAGCAGCTCCACATATCCTTAGCACATACTTATCTTCCTTGGGGCAAAAGGTGGGAGAATATTTTTTTTTTGTGAAAGAGATTGTTAGTATGTTTCAGATAAACTTAAGACTGAGTGGTGTTTAGCCAAGTACTGGAAGTATCAACTATTCCAATACTTTACATGCCGTTATGAAATAATTTTCAGAATTTGGATGTGTTTTATATCACTCTCCCATGTTATTTTGGTGGCCTGTTTAAATACTCCACTCCCTGAGAAAAACCAAACCAAACCCCCAGAAATCTTATGTAAAAGGTAATATCTGGCCATAAAACTACTGGCTTGGAAAGCACCCCTGTATCTCTTTGGCACCATGACAGAGATGCAGTGATGAGCTTTGGATGGGACCTTGCCGAGGCAGGGCTGGAAAGACGGGAGGGAGACAGCCGGGTCGATAACCCGTATCATCTCTGGTGCTGCAGTGTCAGCTGTAAAACGGTGGGAAGAGCCACTTCCTGTCTCATGGCAGGATGACAAGAGGGAATGCTCTTCTCGGGTCCTCAGCTGGCTCTGCAATAGTCTGAAAGAAGCAGAAAATATCTTGTGAATATAAACAAGGGCTGTTCCACCTGGCTTGAAGGGCGCTGACGGTAAAACACATACAAGAATCTCTCTGTAACGCTGTCAGAGGAGCGTGGCAGAACTTCAGCCCTTCAGCAGAACCCAGCGCCCGGCGGCACAGCTCCATGAGCTCTGCCCGCCCGGCCGAGCGCAGGCGGGGGCAGCGTGTGCGGACCGGGCAGCTCCGAGCTCCGCCGGGCCGAGCCCCCGGGGCGCTCCCTCTGCCGGCGGGGCCCCGGGAGAAGCCGCGGCTGCGGGACAGCGCAGGGCCGGGGCCAGAGAGGGGCAGGTCCTCCCTCCTTCCCTCTTCATTCCCTCCCTCCTTCGTTCCCTGGCGGCCCGCGGGAGCGGCGGTGCCCGCGCGGGAGCGGCTCCCGGCGGGAGGGCGGGGAATCCACGCCGGGATTTCGGAGGCACACTGACATCAGGGGGGCGCGGCCGGCGGCGGGCGGGGGCTGCGCGCTGAAAGGCGGCGAGGCGCGGCCCGAGTCACTCCGGAACGGCGGCGGGGCAGCGCGGAGCGGCTGCCGGCACTGCCCGGGCTGGATCCGCGCCGCCAATGTGCCGCGGGAGGCGGGCGCTCACCCCGGCCCTAGGTAAGCCCGGGCGGCGCTCGCCGCGCCGCACACCCACCTCCCGCCGGGTCAGGTGCGGGCGGGCGGCCGGGGCTCCCCGCGCCGCGCTGGGGGCGGCCGCGCTGCGAGGCGTGCGGGAGGTGCGGGCGAGCCGCGCTCGCTGCTCCGCGGGGCAGCGGGCGGGAGAGCCGGGGCTCGGCTCCCCAGGCCGGCAGCCCTGAGCTGGGCGCGATTCGCTGCTCACAGAGAAGCTCCGGGTCGGTACTCGCCCGTCCCGCCCGACGCGGGGTCTCCGGCGCGTCGGAGCTTTGCGCGACCCTCTCGAGCCTGCGGAGACCTCGGTGCCAGACTGCGGCGTGCGGGGCCGCCTCTCCCCGCCGCGTCCTGCCCCTGCCCCGAGCCTGTCACTCGGCCCCCGGCAGCGACAGCCAGCACATGGCTGTGTGCGGGGAGCTCGCAGGGCCATTGCATTGCGCTGCCTCTGGCTTCGTTCGCAGTTCGCTGAGCTCTGCCTGGAGAGCCAGAGCCGCTTCTTGATCGTTTTAAAAAGAAAATTAAAAAAAAAAAAAAAAAAAAAAAAACCCAAAACGAAAAAGAAAAAACTGCCCCAAATCTTTCGCACCAGAGGTTGTGGTTGCACTTTGCCAGACGGGACTTGCGGCAAGGACCATGCGGTGAAGCCGAGCGGGACCGCAGCCCTGCACTCTGCGATCGCAAAGGGGAATAACAAACAGCCGGAGCAGGAGCCGCGCACCCGCCGCCTCTTCCCGGAGACCTGCATCGCAACAAGCCCCGCTGCCTGCCGCAGCCTGCAGCCGCCTGAGGCTCGATCCAGACACTCCGCTTTGCAGGAAGGGCTGGATTTGCTCCCCGTCGCCTCCGGACCGAGAACTGCGGCCGAAGGAGAGCGCCGCTTCCACGGGCGGCTGGGGCCGCTGCATGCTGACCCCCGGGAGAGGGGAGCTGCGGTGGGCAGGAGAGCGGGGCTTTTCTCTGCTGGCCCAGTAGGACGTGGAGATCGGCGAGCGAGGGCTGTGCGGGGACGAGGAGCGCAGCCCGCCGGCCCTCCCCGTCCCGGGGGCCGGGAGAGCGAGAAGCCGAGGCCCCGCCACCCCCCGCCCGCTGGATTTGCCGTTCCCAGGGGCTCCCTGCACATCAGTAAGTTGGGACCCGCCGTGCGCTCACACCGGGGCCGGCGCTGCCGCAGCGAGCAGGTGCCGCGGGGCGCTGCGGCGCCCGCCCGGTGAGGGGCGGCCCCGACCACCCTCCCACCGTCTCCCTTCCGGAATAGAGGCACCGGGCTGCTGCGGGAAGGCTTGCTGGGGACCGTGGCCGGCTGCGAACGAGCAGAAGGTCAAAAAGACGCCCCAAACGCTCCTCGCAGGTGGGGGCCGGAGGGGCTAAGGCGGGGGGTGCCGAGCCGCAGCGCGGGGAAACCCCGGGGCTGAGCGGCCGCTCGGCTGCCGCTTTAAGCGCCAGGTAATCCGCCCTCCCGAGGCAGCGCCGGGCTAAGATCTGCCTTCCCCTGAGGAAGAGAGACAAGGAGGCAAAGGAAAGGGAGAAAAAAAAAAGCTTGTGTTTTCATTCATAACTTTTTTTTCTTCCCCTTTTCCCCTCCTCTTCCTTCCTCTCCGTCTGCGCCGTGATCCGCTCCGCTCTGCTCGGGGCGCAGAGGGCGCCGCGCCGCCGCCGCCCGCCCGGGGCTGCGGGGAGCGGGGCGGAGCAGGGCGGGACGGGGGCGCTGGCGGCGTGTCCGAGCGGGTGTGGAGAAGGGGAGGGAAGCGGGATCCCACCCTCGAGGTGCGGGGAAGGAGCGCAGCCCCGGGTGCAGACCCGTGAGGGCTCTCGCCGCCTGCGACGTACGTTATTTAATTATTTTGTTTTACTGATTTTTATTTCATTGTCCGGGGGGAAAGCAGTTTACGAGCGATCTGCGCGGGGGTGGAGGTGGCTGGTTCAACTCTCGCCCCGGTCTGCAGCTGGGCTTGTCAGTCTGCGCCGCGTTGATGTTGCGCTTTCCCCCCAAAGATGGCACTGGATGTCTTTCGCATTTTCTTGGGATATTGTTTTTCATCCCCTAGGGAGCCCAGCTCCTGGCTGGTACAGCTGTAAATCTTTCCCTTTTCGCATTCATTCACCCTTGGTCTGTTGTGGATTTGTATTCAGTGCTCGTGAAGAAGGCTGCTTCTTGTGTGGGGTAGGAAGAAATTCTTTGCTGGAGGGTGGTGAGGCACTGGCACAGGAAAAAACTGTGAATGCCCCATCCCTGGAAGTGTCCAAGGCCAGGTCGGATGGAGCTGTGAGCCACCTGGTCTAGTGGAAGGTGTCCCTGCCCATGGCCAGTCCCAAAGCCTGCAGAGTCTGTTAGGTCCTTTCCAACCAAGCCATTCTGTGATTCTATTCTGTAAATTAGAAGTGAGAGTGTTTGGTTTTCTGTTTAATCTGGTGACCACAAAGCCCACACAGGTGATGCTAGATGTAAAATGAAATCTTTGATACTGGATGAGGACAAAGATTTTGTGTCACAGCAGAAGCTGTCACTTTCTGCCCGTGGTGACTGCCTGCTAGAAAACACATTTCCTCTTCTTGTTCTTCCTGTGTTTCCACACCACGGTGCCTTTTACTCTCTGGAGTGGAGAACAGCTCCATGCTGGCTGTGGTCTGGGTACACAAGACATTCTCATAGCATTATTGGATGAGTTTTTGAAATGCTTGATAGCACTTAGCTTTCTTTGCTTTCAGGTGAACACCTGTGGCATCCCGGGGGGGAGTGAAAAGGGACTTTTCCTCTGGCTGACAGTAAAGAAAAGCAGTTTGTTGTCTTGGGTCCCTGCATAAATGTGGCACTTAGATACTCAGCTACATCTTTGTGTAGGTGCAGAACTGTCATTGCAGTTTTCTCAGTGTTGCAACCTTCATATCTCTAGCTAGGCAGGATGGAAAGGGATGGAAATGTGTAACATCTCTACTATTCTCCTACTATTTAAAAGACAGATGAGCAGATGTTCTGTTTATTTGAGAAGCTTTTAATCTGTCTTGTGAAAATGGATTTGTTCTCTGTGTTTTGAGGTTCTTGTTGAGGGGTTTTTATCTGCTCTTAACATTCTCCTGAATGCTCAGGTACTTTTTGTTTGACGCCTAGTTCATCTAAACCTTTTTCTACCCCATTTTTCTTTCTCACTCTGGCCTGTGGTCAGGCAATATTTGAAAACAGGTTGTTTGCACCCTTGCTTTAATTTTATAAAGGAGCATATTAGATGTGTAGACTGAGTTACTTTCTCACAGAAAATGTCTTGGCCACTTGACAGCACTTAGTTCAGGACTCTGTAATGCACATACGTCACTTTAAGAGGGAGACTTTCCAAATGCACTAGGAAGCAAATCTGTGGAGCTTTCTGATGCTGCAGATTCAGGCAGAAGAGTGAGAACTGGGCTCATTCCTCACTCTGCCATACGAAACATGAATGTAGTGGTGTTCTTGGCTGTTTCCAGCTCAGTGTCGGGGGCATTCGGAATTGCTGTTGCTAGAGACAGATGTTGAGTTCAGTAGCAAGGGAGACGCACTTCCCATGGCTTGCCAAGAAAGCGTACAAGTTAATACTGGATTTTTATTTTTTAATTTTTTTTTTAAATGGCATGGGGTCTCCTTTGCATTCCTCATCCATGATGCCATACCCAGACTCTCCCCATTACTGGACTTTGGCCAGATCCTCAGCACTGCTGTAATCCCCTGCTGAAAGTGATCAGTACCAGGTGGCTGGGGCAGTTTGGGCTTTGCCAGATCATTTCTGTTTTCAGAAAGTATCCGGTGCTTTATCCCTCCGCTGCCCTTGATCTCGTGTGTGTATATGTACACACGCAGTGTTTATTTACACCTTCTGTCTCCTTCCTTGTTTCAGGATTTCAGATGCATGCCAGGTTCCCGCTGAATGCCAGCAGCAGAGATCACTACAGATGGAGCCCCAAAGTCAGCATGGCAGCGGCGGCTCCCTGGTGGTGATTCAGCAGCCTTCCCTGGACAGCCGGCAGCGCTTGGACTATGACAGGGACAGCCAGCCCACGACCATCTTGTCACTGGACCAGATCAAGGCCATCAGGGGCAGCAACGAATACACCGAGGGGCCGTCGGTGGTGAAAAAGTCGGGTCCGCGGACGGCGCCGAGGCAGGAGAAGCATGAGAGGACTCACGAGATTATACCGATTAATGTGAATAATAACTACGAGCACAGGCCCGGCCATGCGGGGCACGTGGCCCATCAGCATAACACCAGGGCTCCCGTCCTGAGCCGCTCCACCAGCACGGGCAGCGCGGCCAGCTCCGGCAGCAACAGCAGCGCCTCCTCGGAGCAAGGGCTGCTGGGGCGCTCGCCGCCCTCCCGGCCGGGCTCCGGCCACAGATCCGACCGGACAATCCGGGCGCAGCCCAAGCAGTCGGCGCTGATCGTGGACGATCTGAAGGGGCCTTTGAAAGAGGACTTGACGCAGCACAAGTTCATCTGCGAGCAGTGCGGGAAGTGCAAGTGCGGGGAGTGCACGGCGCCGCGGGCCCTGCCCTCCTGCCTGGCCTGCAACCGGCAGTGCCTGTGCTCGGCCGAGAGCATGGTGGAGTACGGCACCTGCATGTGCCTGGTCAAAGGGATCTTCTACCACTGTTCCAACGACGATGAAGGGGACTCGTACGCGGATAATCCCTGCTCGTGCTCCCAGTCACACTGCTGTTCTAGGTACCTGTGCATGGGAGCCATGTCCTTGTTCCTGCCTTGCTTGCTCTGCTACCCTCCGGCCAAAGGATGCCTAAAACTCTGCCGGGGGTGCTACGACCGCGTCAATCGTCCGGGGTGCCGGTGCAAGAACTCCAACACGGTCTATTGTAAACTGGAGAGCTGCCCCTCCCGGGGTCAGGGCAAGCCCTCATGATTTTGGGAGGGAGGTTTACTTCCTCCAACTTCAGTTTTTCAGGTTGTAGCTGATTTTTTTTCCCTGCCCCCATCTTTTCTTCTTCCCCCCCTCCTCTCCCATTTTGGGAGGACTGTTGCTTTCCTTTCCTTTCTGTCTGCCCAGCTTCAGACACATGAGCTCTTCCCCTTGCATCTTTGCTCTCCTCCTCCTACTGACTTGGCTGAGTGTGGAGCGTTTCACGCAGTTGCTGCTGCTCTTTGGTAAGTGTGGACCTGGGATCTGCACCTGCCGCTCCTTCGGGCAGGGTCTTTGAGTTTGTAACTGAACCACTCCTGAAAGAGACAGTGAGGGCTCACTGGGCTCTTGAAGCTTCTTGCTCTGTGAATATCTTCCCAAAGATGTTTTTTTTTTTTGTTCTCAGCAAGTTATGGTTTTTTTCTCCTTAACCTCCTGGGTGCCAAGGAAGAATAACTTTCCTGAGTGAGCTGGATTGTGAAATAACTTTTTGTGTGTGTTCTTTCTGGAGAGGGATGTAAAATAAAGGCTTCACCAAATGAAAGGCCTGACTCTTCTATAAGCAGCCTGCTTCTTTTTGCATCTTTTTTTTTTTTCTCCCTCTCCTTTTCTCTTAACTTTTGGAACATTCTCAGACCTGAGAATTCCCCGGCCTTTTTTTTTTTTATTTTTTCTTTTTTTTTTTTTTTTTTTTTTTTACATTTTCAATGTAACTTCAGTTTTTGCTACACTGTGTAGGTCTTCACATTGGAGACGTTGTGGCTGCAACATACTCATTTGTTTCTTTTGCTGTCCAGTCTTTGAAGGATATTGCGTGTTCCACCCTCCTAATCCAGTTTTTATAGTCTGTCAGTATCAGTTGATATTAAAGTTGGTGGTGTTCATATATCCAAACAGCCTTCAGGTGTCATTGAGTCACCTAAATGTTCTTGAATCCTTCAAGTCTCTTGTGATCCTTTGGCTTAGTGAGTTTAGCTCTGCTCTGTACTTTATAATTTTATTCTGTCCCTGTTTTATTGCCTTAGCCACAAATTGTGGTCCTTTTTTGTATATTTTATGTATAAAACACAAAGTTGAATCCCAACTATTTTTAAGACAAAAGTCTGTTAAAACTTTTTTTATTGTAAAGAATATTTATTATGTGAATCTCTATTATTTTATGATATTTATTGCAAAAGACTTCGAAAATGTACTCATGTCTGAATATAACAAAATATCAATACTTAACGAAATAAGGATGACACGAAGAAAGTACATATGTTAACTATAATGCAGAAAATATATTAATTAATGAAAACGCCTCTGGAGTTCTTTTGTTACAACTGGCAGGTTGTGAGCTACCTGTGTGTATTGCTGGGCTGTTCCTCCTCCTTCAGGTCTGTCAGGTGGCAAATAACCTCCTATTGATACTTCAAAGCCACTAGTCTGTGCTCTAGTTTAGTCTACCTAATTTTAAGTTCAAGCCAACTATATATCAAATAAGGGATGTTTAATACAATTGAATCTGTGTTTTGCTTAACAGTGCCAAGAAATGGAGGCTCTATTTATTTACCAAAGCATTTGGAAATACATTTGCGGAGGAGGAAACCACAACTTCCAAGCTGGTTTCTTTTTTGGTGTTTGTTTTGTTGTTTTTGGTTTTTTTTAAGGAATACCACATTAACATGCAAAGCCATTGAAAATTTTCCTATATAGAACTTCATGGCTGGTTAAATTGTGCAGCAGTTGAAGAATTTAACCTCCTCACCTCGATTCTAAATAAAAAGTTTGGAGCCAGGATGAAAAATAGTGATTGTGTTGCTGTAGTTTGGTAGCTTTGAAATCTGGGAATGTGTGTGTGTGTTTGGGCCTATGACTTATTTGGGTCTTTTCCCATACGTTTTCCAATGTCAACTGAGTCTTCTGTCTTTAAATTAAAGGCTCTTAAGGGTGACCTAAGTGTCACAGCTACTTGTGGCCATTTAACACACATTCAACAGAAAAAGCTTTTCATTAAGAGTGAATGGGGAGACCTCATTCTTTTCCTCATGTGGGTCAAGGTTACATCACAATTCTCCTGAACTTTAAAAGTTTTAAATGGATGAAATTTCACATGGTGTTCAGAGTAAGTGGTTCTAGAGAAACTCCACTTCAGAACAGAGCAATGTCTTGACAAATGTGTCATATCTTGCTCTTTTTTGAAGTCCTGCTGCTTTGAATTACCATATTCAAGCTGCTCTAATCCCAGCACGGTGGTGATTTGAATAAGCTCGCCTTTTTGTAGTTAATTCCATCCCAGCTGATGCAGTGTCATGGAACAGGGCTGACTGAAGCTGCTTTTATATTAAGCAGCACAGATGACCCCTGAGAGGAACAAAGAGAAATCATCATCTGAGTACATCTAGGAGTGCTTTGCAGGGCGGTGCTGCTCCTCTGTGTGACAGAAGTGACAGGCTGGGGGGCAGCACCGGATGCACACGGATTCTGCTTTCCAAGATTTCCCGAAAGGAAGCAGGAATTTCCAGGAGGGATATGTTCCTGAGGAGCAGGGACTTGCGCTCCTTCGCTGTCACCACGCGTCTCGAAGAGTGACAGCTGCAAATGGCCCCGCGACACAATGGGGGCCTTGTCCGACGCTGGCCAGGGATGCCCACTGGTAACTGTGTGCTGACACCCGGGAACGCGGAGCCAACTGCCTCCACTGCTGGATCACAGCCAGCCCCTGCTCAGGGCCTTTGCTCCGAGGGTGCTGCTTGTGCCTCCTCAAGGAAAACATTGCCCTCTGTACCTCTGTCTCCTTTTTCAGCCAGTGACTGAATTATCTGGGGGTTTGGGTTGATTCCTAGCAGAAGAGAAGAAATCCCAAAGGACCCACGTGTTCTCCATTCTTTAATGATTGTCTTCCATCAGGAGCCATGTTGTGACACTATTTCAGATCTCTTTTTTAAAACAACAGCTACACTCTAGTTTATCATACTAATGCTCCCTTTACTAATCAGATTTTGGGTACAACTTGAGATTGCAGTGCCTGTAGAGAAAAAATTTACTTGGACCTACACAGCAAGGAGAAGAAAACAGTTACTTGCAGGTCTTACATGGTTTTCTAATTGCCAGGTAGAGCAGACAGTGTTAGAAAAATGAGAATAATGTGTTTTTCTCTAGGGTTGGATGCTGTATGCTTTGTATTTAACATACAAATGTGTGGGTGCACAGTTTGTGGTAATTGGGAGTGGGGCTGCAGCTCAGACACCAGAGGCCTTCTGATGAGGTAAGGTGTTATTCTGTTTGGGCAAATGCTTAAAGCTGCCTGAAATTGTGTGGTGATACGCTGTGTGTCGCAGCCGTCTCAACTGCGACACAAATCTATCCGAGCTCACTTCTGGCTACTCTGGAACGTGAGGTCATTGCGCTGTGCCATTGAAGGGGTTGGGGATTCATTCAGGCAGTTGGATTTTGTGGTGTAGAACCACGCAGAACCTCTTTCTGCGTGGTAGAATGAATTCTCTTTCCGGCTGAAAGAGCAGAGTAAGCTGACAGCTGGAGGAAGTGAAGCTGTGAAGCTTCCACAACCTGAAGAGACACAGGTTACTTTCAATGTGCCCCAAGTGGTCAGCTGCTGTGTCTGTTCCACTTTCCACAGTGGAATGGCCATCCAAGGATGCTGTGTTGTGTTGGAAGGGGGGTTGCTGAGGGGATTTCCAGCAATTAGGGTACTGAAGTGCACATTTTAGTCCTTCAACCCCAAATTTATCAGGGGGGCTGTTTGAGGTTACTCCTCCGTGTCTGCAGAGCCTACTGCAATGTGGCTCATAAAAATTACTTTTTTTTCCTGATATTTCTGAAATCTTGTTTTGAGAAGCCAAGAATTTTACATTTACGTTTTACACTCTGTGTAAAATAATGATGGTGTAATTAGGCAGTAAGTTCAGCTGACCTACTGACCTAATTGCATGGGTGGGTGATGGATTTGGCCGAGGCTGCCATCTGGTTCCAACAGCGAAGGCCTCAGACATGTAAGGTCTGGGTTGAAGGAAAAAGGGAAGTCCAACAATCTGGAATTCTCACTTTGCTTAGTGTCTCGAAACTTGTGGTAAGAGAAGAGTTTAGGAAACAGTAATTTAGCAATAAATACAATGGATAGATAAAGTTTCCATGTTCCATGCTGAAGGATTCCATGGCTGAAGTGAGAATTTGCCCTCAGAGTTGGGGTGTTTCCAAAGACAGCTCCCTTACATCAATGCTGGGGTGGGTGAGGGCATTGTCCAAGGGGGGATAATGCCTAGCAAAAAAAAGTGCTTGCTCTTATTTACGGTTCCATATCATAAAGACAGGTGGGAGAGGATTAGCTCCTCTGTCTGTGATAAAGCAAATCTGTTAAGAGGGATTAAAGGGGCTAGATGAAGTGTTTTAATGGACTTATATGAAGTAATAGATTTTTGTCCTGGAGGAATGTTCAGGACTCACTGATACTTCTGCATTTCTTGTTCTGCTAAAATTACCTCCAAATTCTAAGGAATCCTGATTAATTGTTGGCCTTCTTCCAGCTGGAGCATTTGTGTCAGTCATGGTGGTGCTTCAGAAAAAAACCTGGAATAAAATTCTGTTGTGCTGTCACACAGCTGGATTTAGCAGCCTTACACAGCACGTGGGGCCGCACAGGTCTTGTTCTGATGACTCTTCATTTGCAGGGCAGTTTGCTTTTAGGGCAGCTCTTGATCATTTGTAGTTCTTCCCTGTGGTTGTCTTTCACCTTCCTCTGGCTGGTGGGAGGAGCCAAGGCATGGCTTCTTCCCTTGGCATTAGTTGCCCAGCCATGAGGAGCCTGTGGTAAGGAGCTGCTCAAAAAGGTCACTTGAAGGATCTGCTCAAAAAACCTTGTGATCTCCAGAGTGATGTTTACAGCTTGGTTTATGTTTGTGATAAATGGATGCAGTGCAGCTGGTTTTCTCAGGAGCTGCCATTCCCGCTCCTCCTGGTGAAGCTTGAGATATTGCCTCACTTACTTTCCAATAAATACAAATTCAGGAAAGTGTCCCTGCAAACCACACATGGCTTGGCTTTTTAGTCTAAGTATGTATGGGTGAGACACTAGTCTTAATGAATAACTTTTGATTTTAGCATCAAAAAAGAACCAGAAATTCACCTGGATTTTGTAATATTCCTGATACATGTGTGCGGCAGTGTTATAAGAGAAACAGTGAGCTTCCAGGGGAAGTAGATATTCCAAAATTAGCTTGTAAGTGTGGTAGCTCTTTATTTTGGAGCAGAGAAGCATCCATTTGGTCAGTCCTTGGAGGAAGGTGTGCCTGATAGCCATGGCTCTGGCCTTGTAAGCACGCCCTGTTTTGTGAACCTTTGTCTACACGTTGGTTGGGTGCCCCGACCTGAAAACAAACATCCTGCAGAACACGATGTCAGGAGGCACAAACAGCCTGACAGAGGCTCTGCCCCCAGGGCCTGAACCCCATTGTGTTTGTGCAAGAAGGAGCACAATGGGACATCCTGCCTGACCCCGCAGGGTCGCTGCCAGAGTATGAGCGGGTTTATTCCATGGAATATTTCTTCTGAATGGAGCTGATGGATTTACACCAGTGAATGAGCTGGCCAGGCGACAGTGCTTGCACTGCCTTAGGAATGCCCAGTGCTCATAAATGTGAGGATGTTCTTAGTTTGTGGGATAAAGTGACTGTGAGAAGTAGCTGGAGCTCCCTAAATAGGCTGAAATTACATAACTGATTAACTACTTAATGTCTGTTTTAAATGCAACCTCCTGTTTTCTGGCACGTGCTTCAATTTCCAAACCACCTGAGAGTTCTTGCAGTGCTGTGAGGATTCCTCTTCCACACTCCAAGCAGGAGGAAGAGATGAGTTTACCTGGCCTGGTGAAGGCTCTCTCCAAAGCTTCATTTCTTCTCTGATGTCTGATCTATGCACTTGGAGAAGCACACTTCCAGATGAAAATGAATAAACTAGTTGCCTGAAAGGAAGGGGGAAGTGCTGGAGCTTTCCTCTAACCCGGATATTGGGAGATTGCACAGTACCTTCTTTTTATCCCCAAGCCTTATCTAAATCCAATCTCATTTACCTGACCCCTTCTTTTTGGGAATAATTGTCCACTTGTTAATTTTCCTACATGGCATGCAAAGTTCTTCTGGATGAAATGTGCTATGACTACAGGAGCACTTGTGCTGTCACTGAGGCACTTTTTGATTTAATACATTTTTACATGTCCTGTATCTCATCCAATTCAAGGTGAGGATAAACCTGGTTAGTCAGGGTGAGAAATACAGGATAGTTGGATGTCATGAATTTTTGTTCTGAAATTCAACTCCATGTATGAACTTTGCCAAACTTTGGCTGTACCTGGGCTTGAATTTACTGATCTGCCAAGAGTATGTGAGGAAATACTGTTAGAGTTGAAAACGCGCCAGTTTTGCTGTGTTAAATAGCCAAAGGTCTCTCTGGAGCAAGTGGTAGAGATAGAAGGTGCCATTCTGGAGTCTCCACAGAGCTTTTTGTATGGGCTTTCAAACCTGGAGTTCTAGGGCCTGTGTTCTTGTATCCCCACTTTCCATCCCGTACCCTGTAGTGGAGCAGGAGCACCTGCCATGGTAGTTCCTGAGTCATCCATCACTGCTGCCAGGTGCAGATAACATCCCCTAGAAAAGTTAACCTCATCTGCTCTCCTTCCTGACAGTTCTAACACACTGGGGTTGGGACAACTTTATCTGTTCAGGTGGCAAAAATTGCAAAGTATCTCAGAGCATTTTGCACTTGGACTTAAATTCTTTTAAAGTAACTGTGCCT